ACAACTTCCCTTACCAAGATGCAAACACCCAGTCCAGCTAACATCCTCTCTAGCATTCCACTTCGGCGCCGGTCTCCTCAGCGGCCTAACATCCTCCATCCTCCTCCAACCCGCCGACCTCCTCAAAACCCGCCTCCAACAATCCCAACACACAACCCTCCTCCAAACCCTGCGACTAATCGCCTCCTCCCCCCACCCCGTCCGCACTCTCTGGCGCGGCACCCTCCCCTCCGCCATCCGCACCGGCGCCGGCTCAGCACTCTACTTTGGCGGCCTCGACTGGCTACGCGGCGCCGTCCTCGCGCGCCCTGGCTTCGGCGTCGTCCCTCCCAACCCCGATGGCGGAGCAGGCAAACCGCGCCTTACGCATACAGCGAATCTCCTAACAGGCGCATTCGCACGCGCCGCAGCAGGATTTGTAATGATGCCAATAACAGTCATAAAAGTCCGCTATGAAAGCTCGCTATACGCATACACGTCCATTGGCTCTGCAAGCCGCGATATCTTCAGCACAGGTGGATGGCGTGGATTTTTCGCAGGTTTTGGCGCGACGGCCGTACGTGATGCGCCGTATGCGGGGCTTTACGTGCTATTCTATGAAGCTGGCAAGCGCCGATTACATTCGCTGTCTGGCCATACGGCGGATGCGGACGGTGGATATTTGGGGAGTTCGGCGGGTATAAATTTCACATCGGGGACGATTGCGGCGGGAGCGGCGACGGCGATTACGAATCCGTTTGATGCGATTAAGACAAGACTGCAGTTACAGCCTACGCGGTATGGGAATATGGTGAAAGCGTGTAAGATGATGGTCCGGGAAGAGGGATGGCGGTGTTTATTTGATGGGTTGGGGCTCAGGATGGCGAGGAAGGGGATGAGTTCTGCGTTGGCGTGGACGGTGTATGAGGAGTTAGTTCGGCGGGCGGAAGTACGGTGGTTGCGCGAGGACTCTATTCAGGAGAAGGCTAGAATCGTCTAAGATCGAGTTTGTACCATATAGGCTATGACGGGAAACTTGGAGTCGGTGTTGGTGTTTGTTGAAACTTCACTTAGGGGCGGTTTTGAATGCCCATGTATGACTGGGAACGCGACTCTTCACATATACAGCATAGACGCACCGCTCAAAGCAATAATAGGAATCTGTAACTATAGGACGAACGAACTGCACAGAATAGGGATATCAAAAACATAAATCAAACGCACCAATGACCAACTTGCTCAGTTCTTACAAAGTGACACCAAACAACTCTACCTGAGAAGGAAACCCATTATCATCCATCGAAGCATCCCGCCTGATCAATAACCTAAAATCGCTAGTTGGATAGTGTGTGCCACGTGAACTATGATCACCAGCAAGGAAACCACGGTGTGTGAGACATGCGTGACACGCGGTACTTGATAGTGGCAGAACATCGAGGTATCGTATAGTAGGAAAGAAGAGAAGGAATAGGTCGTATTTGCATCTAGGAAAGCTGTATAACCTGCTTGAGATAAAAACATATCAGCAATGGCATTCTATGTACTCAAAGTAGCAAACACTAAAAATCTCCCCAGGCAATCAGCGTAGCGGATAGTAGAGTACTAGACATATTTGGGGGTGCAATGCGCACAGCTACGCTAACGCCTGCTGATTTGATTGGTATATAAATTTTAATTCTTTGCATACCATCATTGTGTTATGATATCGTTCTTGAAAGAAGACTAGGTAGGCAGATAGGGAAATAGGGTAGAAGGCCTCAACCAAAGAGGCCACCGAGGTTTACACTGACTCGTTTAGGAGATGACTTGCGCCGGCTGACGGAGCGTCGTCGGACAAAGGCATATTGTGGGTGATTCTTGCGGCCACGGTCTTCAATTAAGAGGCTCGATGCTCCTTTGCGCAGTTTACGCGTATGTTCGAATAGGATTTCAGTCTCGTGGTGGTCAATTTCTTGGAGGATAACGATGTAGTTGGAGTCGTGCTAGCTGACATTAGTGCGTGTTGAAGCGTAGAGACGGGTAGTACTTACTGTATCGTATTCGTATGGTAGACCGAAGTATCTTAACGTTTCAACATCGATGTGGTTGCGGTGAATGCGGATATAGGTTGGTTTGGCGATGGCGAGCTGGTTACCAGGTCTAATAGGATTGCCAGGAGATTGGCCAGGCCGAAGAGCGTTGGCTTTCTTATCGTCGAGTATGGCTTCAACTTGGTTGTTCTGGAACCCAAACTTGGCCAGCTTCTTGCGCATTGCTTCATCGACTTTCTCTTCTTCTTCTTTCTTCTTTTTCTTTTTGTCTTCCTCCTCCTTTTCAATCCGTAGCCTCCACATCTCCTTCTCTTTCTTTTCCTTTTCTTTCCGCTCGTCCTCTTCTCTCTTGAATTGAGCCATCAAGTCTTCGCGCTTCTTCTTTTCTTCCGCTTGTTTCTTGTGATAGGCAGCAATAGCGGCCTCTTCTCTCTCTTTCTCAGCCCTCTTTTTGGCATCTTGTTTGACCTGGTATCCTTGAATCAGAGCCTTCTCCTCCTCCTCTTCTTCCTTCTTCTTGTTCTCATACTCAAGTCTCTCACGTCTCTTCCTCTCCTTGTCCTCACGTTCCTTGCGTTCTTGTTCCATGATGATCAAAGTCCGCTCCTCCTTACGACGAGCGTCCTCACTTTGTCTTCGTAGATTATCCTTGAGCCTCTCATACTCGATATCACGTTTGTATTTGTCCTGATCGTCGCGACGCTTCTCCTCAAGCTCCTCATCCTGCAACCGCTCCTTGAGTCTTCGAATCTCCGCCCTCGTCCGAATCAACTGCGCCTCTGTCTCTGCGCGTTCTCTAGCATCCAGTCGCTCCCTTGCAAGCTCATTCTCCAAATGCTCGCGCTCGCGCTCAAGCTCATACTGGCCGCGTTGACGCTCCTGCTGCCGCACCAACTCCATCTGCAGATATGGGCTTTGCTCACGCGGTGGATACATCATGCCAGGCGCCATCATCGGCATACCAGGTGCCGGGCTACGTCCACGGCGCACTTCGCGCGCAACACCATCGATAGCGTCAACAAGCTCCTCAGTCTCATAGCGACTGCCGCTGCGACGGTGTGAGCCTTGCTGGCCTGAATATGTGGGATGTTCGTCTTCATTGCGGATCGAGTTGTAGACTGTTACGTTGGGAGCTGGACGGGCGCCGGTGCTACGTGAGCGCTGGTGGGTGGCTCGGCCATAGTCGTAGCGGTCGGGAGCGAGCATGGTGGTGCGTGGAGGAGCTGGGGCGGCGACATGACGGCTCCAGCCACGTTCGTACCATTCATCGTCAGTTTCGTCGGCATAACCGGCGCGCAAGTGGCCAGCCATAGTTTGTGTTTTATTGCTTGGTGGTAATCTGGTGGTTTGGTATGGGTGGGGGCTTGCGAGTCGGAGTGATCTGCGGGGTAGGAATCTCACCAGTCAAGGGTTGGAGGACTGATAGGCAGGAGAGAGTGTAGAGTTGTTGAGGGATTGTAATTTGTATGGGAAGATAGGAATATAAAGTGAAGACTTGGAGGAACAGTCAGCACCGGGGTAGGATAAATAAGTGGGCGGCGAGGAAGTGTATGGTAATGGAATGGAAGGAAGGGAGGATGAAACTGCAGGATGGGATGGGAAGCAAGAGAGAGATATCGCAGAGGTTTTAAAAATAAGCCGGCAGTTTAAACCCTTGCTCTCATGATCTGCTCACACTACTAGGAACTACGCTTAGCATGGGAATCCGAAAGAATGCAAGCCATGTCCAAGCCGGCCTCCCAAATGAGGTTCATAGATTTCATGAGAAATGATTGGCAACAACCATCTGACACCCTGCCATCCAACTCCAAGCAGTTCAAGTCTCAACGGGTCCACGGGTCGCCTGTTCCGCCGCCTTTTTTCAATCATCATCTGCTGTGCCATTTACAACAGTGCCCCGTCTGGTCACTGGTGTCGCGGAGACATTTCAAGGCAAACAAGACTTGTAACCAAATTCGTGTGACTTGGTACCTCGAACAGCAGATTGCCCGCACCAAGCAACGGAAGAGCTCGCTGGCCGTCCACAAGGTATCGCTGGCGAAGCCGGCCCAGCACGAGCAACATGCATGCGCCCAGCATCTTCAACGTCGCTGACTGTTCAATCTAAGACTGGGGCTCTGCGGGCAGTTCTGACGATCGTGACAATCTCGTTGCCTTCCTTCCTCCACGTTGGTGGCGATTTGGTTCGATATGCGATGATCAAGCCCAAACGAATACCCGCCATGACAAGCGCCCAACCTGCTTCCTCCGCCTTTAGGATCACTTTGCTGGTGGAGAGGAGCAGAAGAGCACAGTGAAAGGGCGGTGGGGGCCAAATGCCAGGGTGCCCGGTGGGTGGAAATGGTGGCGCAGTTTTGGGCATCTTTCCATCTGTTGGAGAATTGCAGTGCTCGCGCATAACGCTTGCATGCATTGCTAATTCGTCGCGAAGGTTATTACCAAATTCTGTTTAGCACTCTTTTCTTGTTCTTGACCGGAGATTGACAGATTTCGGGTAGGTCCTTGTCTCCCGTGGATAGAGTAGAACTTGCGCAAGGAGAAGTTGGAAGATCAAATAGAAACGCGAATCAATGTCGGACTGGGCAAGTCGTGTGCTCCAATAATGCGCCACAATAGGGATAATGCACAGCCATTTTATGTATTTAATCAGGCTAGAGTAGAGTACTGTTAGGCGAGGCTGAGTGTATGATAGGAATTGGGAAACAAGGATTCCTGAATGTAGGTACAATTGAAATTGATATTGTGATATCGTTCGGCATCATGCAAGGCCCAAATCATAGATAAGAGTACTCAGCATCTTTACTAGACACTAAAGTTTATATATTATCAGGATAAAACATACAGTGGTTGCATGGTAACGGTACGCTACCGACCTTTCTCTTTCAAAACATCATTGAATATCCTCATTCAATGACAGCAAAAACAAGCACCCTAATGTAGATGGTATTATGAGCATACCAAAAAAAGAGAGTTTCAATACTGAAGTGAAATTGCTGTCTGTCGGGTTCGAACCGACGCTTCTTTCGAAACTGGTGCTTAAAACCAGCGCCTGCGTCAAGTTAGACAATCTGACTAATTCGTATTGAAATGGTGCGTAAATACCTTAGACCACTCGGCCAAAACAGCTTATCCTTCAAGCTGGGATTTGCCCAAAATTCGTATAACAATATCTGGCTTTTTCTTTGACTAAGATCATACATCTTTAGAATGGGCCTACCCCTTATATCGTAAACACTTCTCTGAGAGTCTATCATAAATTCATAATTATGCTTACATAGTGTTGATGCCAAAATACATTTCGCAACACCACTGACAAGATCGCATGTATGAGACTTTAAGCATACAATCATACAAATCTCAGCAGTCTACTCAAATGGAAAGACTTCTTTAACACAACGCACGATGAAGCATGCATACATTATACATCCATAATGTTCATGCCCGAGTATTTTGTCAATATTGACCTTCTTCGCATTTACCTGGTTCATATTCATATCAATTTTGTGTGAAGTTTTACTAACTCTATTGTATGGAGGCTAAGGACCATCATTATGGCTGGCAACCTCTTGCCATGACGGATTTGAGCTCTTATGCATATTCCGCCTGGTCCGATATTCCTAGCCAGCGGTGCAAGAACTCGGGGCATTTTCTGGATTCTCGTGTATCGATTCTTCTCTCATCACAATAAGTGTAAGTGGGTCGCAAGCCACTACGATGCCTGTCCTCTTGAATGTTTCTGGATCGAGTGCTTGCTTTTGATAAATCCCACCTGCCCCATCTAGTCCTTTTATGGGTCACTACATTAATGATGCTACTCCATCTCGTTACCATCCAATTAGAGGAAGTGGCTTTAGCTCTATTACCAAACTACGTCTGGATGGTACTCGCTTATCGCAGAAGCTCCCCGTGTCCACACTTCTGATATGGCGATCCTTTTCTACCTACCCTCTCTTTCATTATTCATTTTTATCGTTAACCATAACAATACCCATTCGGTTCTATTTTAAGTTATATTTCTTGCATCCGTCAATTTCAATATTGGTGGCGTTTATGTCCAATGGCTGGATCTATACATACTACCTGATATCTGGTACGGAGGCGTCATTTTCCACTCATCACACCCTGTATTTTGCTGGAGAACACTTGGTGTGATTAAGCTTCAGCTGATAGCCAAGATATAGGCCAAACTTATCCTCCAGCACGTGTCCCAGTAAATGAGTCTGGATTGACCCTTCGTCCGCTGCCAATAATGCCATGGACGAGCCTGTTACTTCATGTTATGCCATCAAAAATCCCCATTATCAGGTTGTTTTCCCCTGAGCTTGCCCCACAGTCTACCAAACAATGATTGATCAAATACATATTATCTCTGAGTGACAAGCCCCTAGGCATCTTGCCTTTGCTCAAATCATTGAGATACACTCATTTTCCCTTTGATCTTCAATCCATTCGTTTTATTGATCATCACACCAATTGCTCGTCCTTTTCAAACAACAACTATTGGCATCATGGCGCTCAATGACATTACTCCTTATGTACCATTCAAATCAAATGAGACTTACGAGGTTAGTCCATATTCTGATGCAGCGAGTATCACCGACGAGCCAATTGCGTCTGCCACCACGGCAGATATTCGTGTTACTACACCAGTCACTGCTATGTATGGTCCCGGCTTACAGATAGGCTCTTCAGTGGCTGGCAGTTTTCCAGCTAGATGTTGGGCTCAAGAAAGAGAAGGCCGACCTTCTTTCGACAGTGTATATAGCAGTCCCGAGGGTTTATCTCCATCATCTAAACCTATGATCGGCCCTCATGGATCTTTGCGCCCAGAACATCCCTCTATCAACCGTTTTTATCCTTCGAAACCTGGATTTTGGTTGCCATCGGAAACATCGTATTCGCCGAGATCGTCAATATCTAAGCCTTCGGCTCGCAGACAGCCTCAGCATCATCTCAGTGGACAGTCAATCAAGTCATATAGCTCAGAAACCGCTCTTCGAGATTCCTATGCTCAAGCAGGAACACCATACACTGCAAATGCATACTCTCGACGTCCTTCCAATGCGAGGATAAGATCTTCGCGGGTAAACTCGATATCTCATCACTCCATCACGGAAACTACGGGTATCTCTCCACAATCTGAATCGTTTCGCCCTCTAGAGCATCGAATATCATCTTTGGAAAGGAAATTCGATTCTTTGATCCCAGCAATATACACTTTGGTGAAATCTGTGGATAGTCTAACTGACGCTTTCAAAAACAATGGTCTCGTCCCAAAGACTTATAGCGCTGGATTGCCTCCGTCTCACAGAGCGAGTGAGAGTACCTTGCAAGGAGCACCTACACCGCAGAGGACAGTCTTTGACATCAACCCTTTCGATAGATCTCCGCTGGGTGCAACTAGGACAGGGATTGTTCCAGAAGCACCAAAGAAACCAAGCGATACCGATGTTGAGGTCATCACACCTGTCAAAGAAGTGTTCAAAGGTCGACAACAATCAATCTGGGAGTCTGAGACAGAAAGTGAAAGCGATGATTCTGATAATGAAGAGTCCGCACCATCTTCACGGCCTTCACCACCAGTGTCTCCCAGAGCCTCTGTCGGGGAGACAGTCTCGGTTGAAAACAACTCGTGGAGCTCTACAATTTCAAGAGAGAATTTGCATGAAGAATCCAAGACTTCTGCAAAACCATCAGGCATTCGACCTCCTGCAGTCACAGTACCAAAATACGTCTCACCATATACCGCCACGACCGATTTTGTTCCTCCAGCCTCGCCGCCCAGCACGAGTGCGATACCGCGACGTCGAAAGGATAGCATCTATCCGTCCAAGGGCATCATGTCCAAACGAGGTCGAAGCCTCACCTTCAGCGACTCCAAACCACAAACCACTCCACCCCTCCCACTGTCCAAAAGTCTAAGTGCAAGTGATCTTCCGCCCATCGGGCAACCACAAGTGTCATCGCCATCCAAAGTGACCTTTGCCGACGAGCACGAGGCCATAAACCCACCAGTAGTCATAACTTCGCCAGACGGCCATGACGACAGAACTGCCTATCTGCCTTCACAAGCATCACCATCAACAACCTCCTCGCCCATAGAGAGTCCCAAAAGCCATCCCTTTTACGACACCTACAGTCCGCGATCCCACTCACCAGCTCATTCACCCGCTCGCACCTCAAGAATCGTCAAGCCGGCCCTCGCTCGAAAAATCTACATTGCCCAAACACCACCTGCCGTTGCCCGCAAAACCTCCATGCCAGCACCTAATGAACTCAACCCCAGCCCATCGCACCAACCCCAACGTCACCCCGCTCTACCCGTCCATCTCCCCTCCTTCCCGCTCGCAAGCCCAATCCGCGCCCCTCGCGCAGCCTGGTACTTCTTCTACGGGTCAGTGCAATCGCCCACCGTGCTAGCAGACCTCCTCGAACTGCCAACCAAGCCCGTCGTCCTGCCCGCCATCGTATCAGGCTGGCGTATCAAGTACTTTGGCCCATGGCCAGCGGCGGTTAGCACGTCACCGGTAGCTGATGGTCCGGAACATGTGATTCGGGGAAGTGCGTGGTATGTGCCGAGCGCACAGATAGCGGCGGCGTTGAGGAAGCTTGATGGGGGTGCGTTTTGGGAGGTTGGATGTGAGATTGAGTTTGTGGAGGAGGGATTGTTGGAGGAGGGGGAGAAGGTTGATGGGAGGATGTTTGAGTGGAGGGGAGAGGCGAGTGGGTTGATGGATAGGCCTGCGATTTAGGAGGCGGACGTTGGAGAATCGGGCATGTGGATTAGGAGAAAGGGAGTGTGTATTATAGCTGTGCTAGATATGGACGTAAGATCATTGTATGAAGAGAAGAAGATGTATGATGTCTGTGTGGGGATCATCTCAGAGAGATAGTAGAGAGGCAAAGTAGCGCAATTGTTTTGTTCACAAATTCTATACTTCGTACAACTAAAGTGAAAATCCTATAGGAGCAGGAATATGTATATTTTCTAATGACAAGTGCCACCATTCTTTCCTCCAGCACCAATGCACACGCCTGAGCAGCATACCGAATGATCCTGGCAGAAGCCTTACTGTATTAGTAAACAATGCTAGCTCTTTGGGTGGAATTATCTTACATTCATTATCACGACATGTATCCCTTGGGCAACGTAGGGCGTCGAGTGCCTTGGGAGTAGCAAGAGCTCCACTGACCAAAAGCATGATGCTGAAGACAGTGATTGAAGCAAATTTCATATTGATGGATTGGATGAGAGTGAGCGGATTGCTTTGGTTGGGCGAAAAACGGCTAGTATGGGGCGTCAAGGCGAACTCTTATATGCTAGGTATAATTCACAACGCAAGTCTGAGTTTTGATTTTGTGTTACGAACTACCGAAATAGTTCAGTAACACGAACCACATGTAGGAGGATTCTCAGTAACGTTCGCCACCAGGTGTTATGTAGAACGAGAGATGTCATGGTAGCGGTTGCTGTAACCAGAATTCATACTACCTTCTACAAGCAATCAAAGTATGGGTTGATTGCGTATGTTCGATCCTTTGATTTTACGAAAGCAGTTCCTGAATCCTGCTCAGTATTACGTGGTGCGGACATCCGAGCCGAACTCTTGTAGAGTTAGTGATCCTAAATCCTACATCATTACAATATCGGCGAACGCCGATCGTGGTTCGTCGAATTACGGCAGTTCTTGTGTCTTCTAGTAATATGATGGCCAGCACATATGATGAGCATCCGGAGAAAGAGTGGACAAGAATTGCTCCATGCTTTGTGTCAATCAGACCCAACTCGCACATCTCACCTAGACTGTCATCTTTTCGTTGATGTTCAATAATTCATAAAAAGAACATGCGTAGGGTCATACAAAGCGAGCCATCTTGATATTGCCCCTAATCCCATGAAGAGTACAATGTACCACACTGTCCCCCCACAAAAAACATAGTTTCATCTGGTCCATTGAACATGCTGAAGACTTGCTCCAGCTAGAGACCGAAAGCCTTTAAAGTATCTTCAGGATTTCTGCTTTTGAGTAAGCGTTACTCCCCAATGAAGTCTTGATATGGGCTGAGATCCATATGATTTGTATCAGTGAATGAAACTGGTTGGCTATGATGATGGAAAGGTTTCA